CAACTGAGGAATGAGTAAGGTTAGCTCCAAGCTTGGTCTACTGTAGTCAGTAGCCTCAAGTGGGGCCTGATATTTCCACCGCCAAACCTACCTCTCTGGGGTAAGTCAGCGTTCTTCGCTCAATTATGACACAGCACTGTTGAAGTTTGGGTCATATCTCTTACTCTAATTTACTTAATATATTTCTCTAATTCATCTCTCCTCTTTTCATAAATTTATTTCAAACACATTCTGTATGTCATGACTGTAAATGGAAACCATTAATCACTTTCCATACAGAGAAAGTGACTATAAAAATAAACACAATGATCCTTCCATGGTGGATAGAATTCTACTTCAATATTTTTTTTCTTTTAATACTAGGCATTTTGTTGTAGACATTTACAGATGTTATTTTGATATAAATAATAAATAATAAGGTCCATAGGGTTTACCAGCTTCCATAAGAGCCATGGCATTGTTCCAAAGAACCCCAAGCAGAGATACGAGGATATAGTCCGCAATGGTCCAAGCTTGAGGACTCTTCTTTCTTTGTTAAAAAGGAAAATCAGGGACTTCCCAGGTGGTCCATCTGTTAAGACTCTGCACTTCCTATGTGGGGGATGTGGGTTCAATCCCTGGTCAGGAAACTAAGATCCCACATACCACATGGTGTGACAAAAATATTTTTTTAAAAATTATTTTTTAAGAAAAATCAAATAGTATTAAGACAGTATGTAAGACATGCTAATACCAACCTGGATATACTTTCTGGTGCACATATGTATTCATTTATGTTGGGCATATATCTTTGAATGGAAATTTTGGACCATAGGGTATCTGCATGTTCAGTTTTATATACACAGTCAAAGAGTTTTAAAAGTGGTTTTTTACCAGTTTATAATACCCACCAGAAGTATGAGAATTCCAGTTATTCTATTTCCTTACCTCATTTACTACTAACAGTCTTTTTCATTTCAGCTATTCTAGTGACTATGCAGTGCTAAATCCGTGTTGCTTTACTTTACACTCTCCCTGTGACTAATAAGGTTAAACACCTTCCATGTGTTTATTGGCTACTTGGATACCCCTTTGAAAGATGACTGTTTAAATCTTGTGCCTGTTTCTTTTTTTTTTCCTCTCCTGTATTTTTCTTAACTACTTGAAGGAGTTTTTTAAAAAAAAAATATATTCTGGATATGCTTCTTTCAGTATTCCAGTTTTTTTCTCACTCTATAGTTCCACTCTCTTAATAATGCCTTTTCCTGAAGAGAAATTCTTAATTTTAAAGAAGCCCAAACATCTGATCTTTTCCTTTTTAGGATTTATGTTCTGTTAAGAAATCTTAGCTGGGACTTCCCTGGTGGTCCAGTGGTTAAGAATCTGCCTTGCAACGCAGAGGACTTGGGTTCGATCCTTGGTCAGGGAACTAAGATCCCACATGCCACAGAGCGACTAAGCCCAAGCATCACAACGGCTGAGCCTGTGTGCTCCGGAGCCCATTTTCATGACTAGAGAGTCTGTGCACCACAAAGAAAGATCCCGCATGCTTCAACTGAGACCTGATGCAGTCAAATAAATAAATTTTTTTTTAAAGAGAAAGCTTATCTCAAGATCATGAAGATATTCTTCTATACTGTATTCTAGAAACTCTATTGCTTTACCTTTCACATGTACATCTATAAATCACTTTGGGTGCATGGGGTGAATTATGAATAAACACTCTTCTGTGTTCATTTCATATGGATTTTTCATAGGAATTCCAAACCATTTTCTGAAAAATCTATCCATTCTCACTGTTCTGCAGTGTTGCCTTTTTCACAAAACTAGTGTCCATATATGCATGGGTCTTCTCCTGGACCCCCTATTATCACCTTTAGTCGATCTGTGTATTCTTTCACTGATACTGGGCTTGCTCGGTGGCTCAGGGGTAAGGAATCCACCTGCCATGCAGGAGACACGGGTTTGATCCCTGGGTTGGGAAGATCCCCTGGAGAAGCAAATGGCAACCCACTCCAGTATTTTTGCTGGGAAAGTCCCAAGGACAGAGGAGCCTGGAGGGCTATGGTCCATGGTGTCGCAAAGAGTTGGACACGACTGAAGAGACTGAACGCGCATGCACACAACCATTTATGTTGGTTGCTCATTATGCACTAATTCATTTTGTATCCTACATATTTTGTAAAGTTTGGACTTCATTGTTTGATGAGGATATATTCATATGTAAGGGGAAATAATATGCTCATTTTAAAAATTAAAGAAATAAAAAAGTAGCTAGAAAGCAAGCTTGTCTTTATCTGTTTCTTGGGAAAGCCAAGCTTACGGAATATCAAGCTGTACGTGGAGAGACTGTATTACGGGCAGACTCATGATGTATTACAATAGCGTCTCCTTACTAAGCTACATTAGAGAGGCACTTCTCAGCTCAGCAGTTTTCCAGGTTGGTGAGTTACCTATCCGAACACAAACCAACTTACTTGCTTTGTCACCTGCTAGATAACAAAGGACCAAAAGTTATAGGAATCTTCCAATTCTGGGAAAACATTGACTTTCTCAAACTAACTTTAGCATGCAACTAAATTAAAAAAAGAAAAAAAATTCTTTCTTAGAGAGATATAGATCTATAGAGTCCTACAATTTATATAAAGGCTCAATTTGTAAACTCCATTCCACTGCTTTTCCAGATTTGAAATCCAAATTAGGAAGTGAATATTAGTCTGAGATGACTTTCATCTTATTTATTCTACCCAGGTCTTTTATGATCATTTGAGTCTGAATTTTGTCTCCAACTATATTAACTAATGTTTCCATCATTTCATCAACTGAAAATTTAGTAGCTGTGTCTATGTCCTAATTTATTTATGAAAATGTTGGAAAATTTTTCCAAAAAATTCAGAATCAGGGACAGAATAAAATGAGACTTAAAAAAAAAAAAGAAAGAAAAGAAAAAGAAATGAGACTTTACTAACAGGTTTCTATAGGTTGTCAATAACAAATCAACACCCTTTGTGTATGATATTCTATCTATTTAAAATCCACCTGACTACAGTATGAACCCATTCACATTTCTGTTGTTCCACTAGAGCTACCAAATATTTTATTCCCATTCAAATCTTCTCTTTGGTGAACTAACTTAGTCATAGACCATAAGACCCAACCCTCAGGTAGCTGGCCACATTAGATTAAACCAGGGATGAACAAACTGGGCCAGATTTTCCATCTCGAGAGCCTGGTAAAGAATTGATAATACAGTAGATCTTAAAAGTTCTCATTACAAGAAAAATATTATAACTATGTAAGGTGAATGATGCTAACTAAACATACTGTGGTAATCATTTCACAATATGTTTTCAGCTGACCCTTGAACAGCATGGGTTTGAACTGCTGTTCACTTATACACAGTGAACAAATGGGTCCACTTACACACAGATTGTTTTCAACAAATACAGCACTTGTAATTTCATTTTTCAGATCTTTAAGTAAACTAAGTGTGGGGAAAAGTTTGCATTTGATTAGAGATCGCAATAGATGGCACCCAAAGAACTAGGGTTTGAGTCCTGATTCTATGCAGGTGCGTCATTTATCATTTATCACCCTTAGGCAGGTGCATCAATTATCACTTACCAATTCCTTTGCATTTGAAGCAGAGACAGCAGTATGCAGAGTTTTCACTGAAGGAGGGGTACAGGCAGTGGAACCCCTAGTACCCATATTGTTTAAGGGTCAACAATTTTATTCTCACACTCACACACACACACATATATAATCATTATGTTGTATGCCTTAAACTTATACAATGCTCAGTCTCTAAATCGTGTCCAGCTCTTTGCCACCGCATCGACAGTAGCCCGCCAGGCTCCTCTGTCCCTGGGATTCTCCAGGCAAGAACACTGGAGTGGGTTGCCATGCCCTCCTCTGGAGGATCTTCCCAACCCAGGGATCAAACCCATTCTCCTCATCTCCTACACTGCAGCCAGATTCTTTACTCACTGAGCCACCTGTGAAGCCCAAACTTATACAATGTTGCATGCCAACTGTATCTCAATAAGACTGGGAAAAAAAAATTTCAAAAAAAGGCATGGGGCTTGAGTGAGCTCTAAGAAGCCGAACAGGAGGGTCCCGTGACTTGGGACCTGAGACCACCATCACATGCCACCCATGATGGACCTTGTACAAGAAGAAGTGGGGGTGCTGAGCGGGAGAGAGAGAAAAGAACCAAAGCCTACAAGCTAAGAAAAACAGAAGTTTGAGACCAGAAAGAGGAGAAAAGATGAAAAGAAGAGCTCCCTGTTGGCTTTCCAGTTCCCATGAGGTCTAACTTTATAACCTGTACTTTGATTCTGTGAATTTTTCTATAGTTTTAAAATAAGCTTCCTTTTGGCTTGGGCGAATCTCATAACTGTACTGTCTGCAGTTTGTATGTTGAAACCCCAAATCTCAAAACCTCAGGATGTGATTGTTTCTGGAGACAGGGCCTTTGAAGAGGTGATCAAGTTCAAATGAAGCATTTAGGGTGTGTCCATAACACAACCTGACTGGTGTCCTTGCAAGAAGAGATTAGGATATGCAGCGAGATCACGTGGAGACTCTAGCACAGAGATGACCACGAGAAGAGGAAGCTAGAGGGTGACCATCCACAAGCTAAGGCCAGAGGTCTCAGCGCAAACCAGTCCTGCCGACGCCGTGATCTGGTGCTTCCAGCCTCTGTTGTGTAAGCCACCCAGTATATGGTATTTCATATGGCAGCCCTGACAAATCAATATAGCAAATTAAGTGAGTTTCGCTGCTCTCAGTTAAAAGTAACAGAAGACTTCAACTTAATTGACTCAGAAGATAGAATATGTATTATTTCACATAGATAGAAATCAGGAGGAAAAGAGCTCCTGGGCTGGTTAATTCAGTGACTCATGACGTTGTCAAGGATCTATGTTCTTTGCATGTTTCTGCTTTACCATTCTTATCTCAGTATGTCAGTTCTGACCTCAGGCTAGACTCCCTTCACGTTGACAACATTTCCAGACATGACACTGTCCAGAAGAAGAAATTATTATGTCTTCTTGTTTCCTTTAAAAGCAAAGAAACTCTTCTTAACAAGCCCTCCTGCACTCTTTTGCACGTCTCATCAAACAGAAATACATCATAGCCAAAGACTAAACTTATCACTGGCAGCGAAAATTGGGGACATCATGATAGAATCTACTCTGAATGAATACAATCCAGTGGAGGAAAATGGGCCTACATATAATAAAGGTGGGGTTAAGCAGTAAGAGGAAATGAATTTGGGCCAGGAAAACAAGTGTGCCTTTCTGATTCCTTTTACCATGTTTCCTAGGCCACAAGGAGAAGGAATTGGCACCCCACTCCAGTATTCTTGCCTGGGAAATCCCACCGACAGAGGAGCCTGGCAGGCTACAGTCCACGGGGTCTCAAAGAGACACAACTCAGTGACTGAGCACATATGCTAGACCACAATTGTATGGACAAGAAATTTGACAAATGTATTACGGAATTAGAAACACTTCTTTAATATCACTCCTCTAATCTGTTGATCTTGTTAATATTTACAAACAGAAGCAAGTAAGTTTGGATGTTGATATTTTCATAATCTTGCATAATTTAAAAAATCTGTATGCATGCTACAGATCCCTTTTAGAAGAATGAGGCTCAGAAACGTAAAATGATTTCCTCAAGAACATACATTATTTACTCCTGGAAGAATGGGAAAATGACTGGGGGGCACATGTCAGTGAGTCATGATAGAGTAGATTAGAGATATAAAATTAGAGATGTAAAATCATAGGAATCTAGGTCACTCTATGAGGGCCTTGCATGTTAGGGGAAGGAGGTTTAAAGCTGGTTAACTTAATATTGTAAGATCTTAATCTGAGGAGTGACAAGATGCAATGGTTTTTCAGGAAGACTGAGCAACAAGTCATTTCCAAAAACAGTTCATAGGTGTCTTAACTAAATAGCACATAAGGACCATACTCAATTCTGGATTCATTCATTATCCTTCAGTCAGCGTTTACTGAGCACATACCACAGGGGAGACCCTGTATTTAGCATAGGGACCAGGAAATAATCAAGACAGATACAGTGCCTTTCCTTGTGTCACTTTTAATTGTATTTATTTATTTTTTGGCTGCACTGGGTCTTCATTGCTGCATGCAGGCTTTCTTTAGTTGTGGCCAGTGGGGGCTACTCTCTAGCTGTGGTTCATGGGCTTCTCATTAAGATGGCTCCTCCTGTTATAAAGCAGGGGCTCTAGAGCTTGGGCTTCAGTAGTTACAGCCCATGGGTTTAATTGCTCTACCTCATGTGGAATCTTCCCAGACCAGGAATCAAACCCAGGTCCCTTGCATTGGCAGACAGATGCTTAACCACTGAACTACCAGGGAAGTCCTCCTAAGTCAGGGGAGTCTGTATTGATCGGGATAGGCTAGACTATGAAACAGTAACAAACACTCATATGGCTCAAAACCCTAAAGCTATGTTTTTGCTTATGTAAATTCCGAGGTGTGAATGGCCTTCCTCTATTTCCTATCTATGGCATTTGAAACACCTGGCCCCCAAGGACAGCACAGTAGGGCAAGAGAGATACAGAGGATGTAAGCATGCACGCGTGCTAAGTTGCTTCAAGCGTGTCTGACTCTTTGCAACCCTATGGACTGAAGCCCCCAGGCTCCTCTGTCCATGGGATTCTCCAGGCAAGAATACTGAAGTGGGTTGCTATGCGCTTCTGCAGGGGATCTTCCCGACCCAGGGATAGAACCAGTGTCTCTTATGTCTACCTGCATTGACAGGCAGGTTCTTTATCACTTGCGCCAGCTGGGAAGCCCACAGAAGATGCATATCAGATCTTACTTTTCTCAGCCTGAAAATGACACATTTGCTCACAGTCCATTGGTCAGAACTGGTCATATGACCCCTTGTCTAACGACAGAAAAGGTTGGGAAATACACGATGCGAGGAGGGGACAGCACATGAACCCTTTGAAAATGGCAACTGTCTCTGCCATAGGATTTTATAATGAATAAACTCAAGTAAAGATTTGTTTCTTCTTAATTCACTTATAAAGTTGTCCTACTCAAGGAGTGCTTATATAAATAGCATTTTAAGGACAACTTCTGCTTGAGGAGAAAAGTATCATATTAACCTTGCTTTCAGACTCTGGGCATAAGGAGAAGATAAAGAATAACAAGTCAATACTAAAGAAAGGTGGCATTTTTATTTCTTTGCCCTGCAGTGATGCAGTAGAAAGAAAAGACCTCAATTTGCATCATGGCTTTCCTACGTGCTCCTTCTGTATCCTTAAGCAAGTCATTTAACCTCCGTGAGCTTACTTCTTCAACTTAAAAAAAAAAATAGGGAATAATACTATCTACTTCAGAGAGATGTCATGAGGATTAAAATTTTAAATATACATATGCAAATGTCTACATTGCACCACAACTGGCACACAGGATAAACTCATTAAATGTTAAATGAGTCTGCTGAATATGAGTCAAAGCAAATTTTAGATCAGAGAACCCAGCCATGTTTTCACGTCATCCTCCATGTAGACTTTTGCATCAAATCTAACTCAGCTGCAGGAACTTCAAAACTTCATTACCTTTCGCTTCTCAGCCTGCCTCTCCCCCCACCACAACTTGCCGGCATCTTATCTCACCAAGCTCTTCAAGACTCACTCACTGCTCCAGCTAAACAATTTTACTCGTTGCCTGAGACGTTTGATAAGTCTCTTTAAAAAACTCTTCCCTCGTCACTGATTTCATTTTTTCAAAATATTGTGAGCCCCTCCATATCAGACCATTTCCTATGGAGGACTGTACTTTCTGCCCCATTGACATCAGGCATGGCCACCTGATTATCTGACTCACTTTGACTAGTGAAAAGTGAGTGGAAGCGATGTGAGCAGAGGCTTCAAGAGCCATAGCATGTTTTCACTACCTCTTTTTTCATTTCCAGAAGACCAGATAGAAGCTTCTGCTTCAACTTTGGTCCTGAAATGAAAATGTGACTGGTTGTAGACAAAAATGTGAGTGAGAAATAGTTCTTTGTAGTGGCAATCCACTAAGATATTACAGGTTGTCACTGTACCATAATCTATCAGGGATGACTGACAGGACTCCATATTGCAGTCACACATACGAGCTCTTCTCCTTTATGACTGTGTTCAAAAGCTCCTTCCTTTAGGACACTTATTCCTCCCTCTCGTCTCCCCCAAATGCTTTCTGCTTTCAAATGCCTTCTCCACGAAGCTTTCCCTGATAACCTTGATCCTAAACCATCTTTCCATTCTCTAAGTAATATCCTAACATATTATCTGCAAACATATCTGTGAATAAAAGTTTGTTGACTACATTAGGTAGGAAATGCTTCTCCTAAGACACTAATGATGGGCTTCCCTGGTGGCTCAGGTGGTAAAGAATCCACCTGCAATGAAGGTTTGATCCCGGGGTTGGGAAGATCCCCTGGAGAAGGGAATGGCAACCCACTCCATTATTCTTGCCTGGAGAATCCCACGGACAGAGAGTCCCTGGGGTTGCAAAAAGTCAGGCACAACTGAAGTGACCAAGCAGTCATGCAAGACACTAATGATAATATTTCATCATTATAATACTTTCCCGGTGTCTTATAATCTTCACTGTGAACAGGGATCATACTTGTTTCCATTTCTGGAAACAGCATTGGGTACCGAGAAAGGCACAGAAAAAAAAAAAAAAGAACAATAAATGACACAAGTTTCAGTTCTGACTAAGATGGAGTAATCACATTCTACCCTATCTATTCCACTAAGCATAGCTACTTGGTACTTTGAAGTACACAGTGGGGACTCATTTGGTGATGTTTCTAGATTAAGAGAGTCTTTCGGTAAAATCATTGCTGATGATATGTGGCTCTGGACAGCAGACTAGGTTTCTTCTTTAGACCAGTTTAAGGGCTTCCCAGGTGGCACTAGCAGTGAAGAATCTGCTTGCTAATGCAGGAGATGTGGATTCAGTCCCTGGGTTGGGAAGATCCCCTGGAGAAGGAAATGACAATGCACTCTAGTACTCTTGCCTGGGAAATCCCATGGACAGAGGAGCCTGGTGGGCTACCGTCCATGGGGATTACAAAGAGCTGGATATGAATGAACAAAACAACAACAGAACAGTTAAATGAGAAAACTTCTGGAAACTTATCTCTGGGACTGAAACTAGACTCACAGATGTTCGCAAGAAAGCTAGACCTTTTATGGCTATAATTTTGTTATTGTTGTTAAGGGAATGTGACAGATCAAGAAGGGTTTGTGGGGATCTCTCCAGATTTACAATTGCAACATCCCCAGTGAAAGATGGGGAGACGCACATGATGAACCAAACCATGGAGTCAAAAGGGAAAGAAAAGTTGGGGCAGGGTGGCCTATAATACCCAGGGTAGTGTTTGTATGATGACCTGCATAGCTTGTGAAACTGGCTTCATTTTGCAGTGAAAAAGAAATTTTGAGGCATAATAGAGAGTCCTTTAAAAACCAGTTATTTACACCTGTGGAAAAATAAAATGGTCACAGACATAGTGGCATTGGACAGATAGGGCAATAGGTAAGCAACGTGAGGGGAAAAATTAAATTTTGATTTTGTGATTTAAGGTCTAGAAGAATCCAAGACTCACGGGAGGTGTTGAGGCTGCACAAGGGAGGAAACCGGAAGCAGGAAGGAAGGCAGTAGGTGGTGGCAGAGGCCAGCCTTAGGGCCGACTACAGAGGTTAGGAGGCTGTCACTGTTTTCAAATTTTATTTTTAATTGGAGGCTAACTGCTTGACAATGTTCTGTTGGTTTCTGCTATACAACAACGTGGATCCGCTCTAAAGGTACATTTATCCCCTCCTTCCCGAACCTCCTTCCCACCCCTCTAGGTCATTGCAGAGCACCAGCTGATTTCCCTCTGTTATAGAGCAGCTTCTCACCAGCGATACAAATCAAATCTACAACGAGGTATCTCTTCATACCGGTCAAAACGGCCATCGTCCAAAAATCCACAAACGATAAATGCTGGAGAGGATGTGGTGAAAAGGGAACTCTCTGGCACTGTTGGTGGAAGTGTAAATTGATATAGGCACTATGGAGAACAGTATAAGGAGAGTCCTTAAAAAACTAAGAATAAAACTGCCATATGAGCCAGCAATCCCACTACTGGGCATACACTCTGAGAAAACCATAAAAAAGACACAGGTACCCCAATGTTCATTGCAGCACTATTTATAATAAAGGGTGTTATTTT